TGTAGCCACTTTGGGAAACAGTATGGCACTTCCCAAAAAGGTTAAAGAGTTACCATGCAACCCAGCAACTCCACTCCTAGGTATAAACCCAAAAGAAATGGAAACATATGTCCATACAAAAACTAGTACATGAATGTCCATAACAGCATTATTTATATTAATAATACCCCAAAGGTACAAACAACCCAAATGTCCATCAACTGATGAATGGATAAAATATGATATAATCATACAATGAAACGTTATTCAGCCATATAAAGGAATGAAGTACATATGCTACGACATGAGTGCACTTTGAAAACATGCTAAGTGAAAGAAGCCAGGCACAAAAGGCTATATATTATACAGTTCCACTGATATGCAATGTCTAAAATAGGCAAATCCATAGAGACACAAAGTGGCTGCCTAGGGCTAGGGGACTTCGGGGGGGGGAAACAGGGAGTGAAACATGGAATGAAGAAGACAGATCTAAGATGTTTCTGGTTGAGAATAGTTAAGGCTCTTCCTACCCTAGCCTGGCACATTGAGCTCTCAGGGAAGAAAGCTTGGGGCTGCATAGGTCACCTGTCCTTCCTTCTCCCTGGGGAAACAGGAACCTTCCTTTCTCCTCCTTTCCCAAATGCCCAAGTGGCTTCCCAGGGTGGCCAAACTTGAATCTGCCTCAAATGTAGAAGTAACATCTTAACTTAGCAGTGCAGGTCAGGAGGCTTTACTCTCACCCACTTTTTTCCCTTTTGCATTCTGTGTTCTAAAAGGGATTTTTAGCACAGTGGTGCACGCCTGTAGTACCAGCTACTTGGGAGGTTGAGACAGGAGGATCTTTTGAGCCCAGGAGTTCAAGACCAGCCTGGGCAACATAGGGAGACATCCCCTCCTCATCTCATTCATTCAGTCATTCGATCATAAATAAAATGGGTTTTTAATTCCCCAGGCATCAACTCTCTGAAATTTGTACCTGCTTAATTTACATGGTTAATGACGAGAGTGACATGCAAAAAAAATGGCTCCCATGTTTTGAGATGGGAAAAATGCTCCGAGAAGACAGAAATCATGCCCCATTCAGCCAACACAGCTGAGCTTTCTCTGGGCCAAAGTTCTCTTTGGAAGGAGGTGTTTCCCTAGAGAAAAGAAGCAGGATGAAGACTGATCCAGCATCCCCTTGCAGGTCTCTCTCCCTCTAACACGGGCCACGTTCTGAAACCAAGGCAAAAACTGAAAATAATTGAAAAGGGAGCTGCCCTCGTGCTCGTAACCCACATTCCAAAGGCGGCGTGACTCTGACAGAATGCCGGGTGGGAGGCAGTCACACTCCCGTCAGGGCCGTTACAGGCACTCAGTTCTTTCTCCTCTTCCAATCACATTCTCAAACACTTCCAATGGCCAACAAAGAGGGGGCGAGGGCTCCAGCAGAAGCCCAATGTGTGTCCCCACAAGGGGACCTTTCAATGCCAACCACAAGCACCGCCTGAGGATGAGGTCAGCCTCTAGTCTATAGGCCACGAAACAAGCTGACTTTGTGGCCAGATGGCCGGCCCCTGTGAGGCCCTAAAGATGGAAAAGGATTGGTTTTCCCCACAGGGACCTCATTCCCTATGCGGGAAGCCCAGCCAAGCCATTTTTAAATAGGTACATTCAGGGGACAGGCATAGAAACATTTACAGGAGCCTCTGTGAGGCATCAGGGTTGCCCCCACCCTCCCTATGCTCTCTGAGCTGCCCTCACCCCTCTAAGTCCCTCCCTCTGTAACCATAACAACAGCCTCCTGTTCAAGACTCTAGCGTGGCTTCCCATTCACCATAAGACCATGTTCCAACACCTCAGCACCAAAATCCCTAAAAGATTTGGTCACCCACGCCCCCTCCTCTCTGTCCTTCTACATGTGTCTTGTCCTTGCTCTTTCCTCTCCAGTTACACAGCCTAAAAGCTAAAAACACATTCGGCCTGAGTTTAAATCCTAATGCCACCGTTAAATAGCTGGAGACCTTGGGCAACACACTTAAATAACTCAATGCTCCAGTTTTCCCATTTGTTGAGCAAGGATAATGACATTACCTACTGTTCAGGTGAGTACAGTGGTGGTGAAAAGAGAAGATCCAGGTAAAATGGTCAGAACAGAACCTGACGCATAGGATCACCTAATAATGCTTATCATAATTCATACAAGTCACTTCCATGAAGACTTCCCTGGCAATACCAGTCAACATCTTCTGTTTTTCAAATGTCCTATGAACAGTCAGAAAGCACAGACACTGGCAGGATTTGTTAGGACTGTTTCATGGGGCAGGTTACGTGGATGGTAGTCAGGTGTTAATATTACCATTAAGCAATTCACGTCCGAAAACACATACCTATGGCTTCTAAATTATCTATCTCTATCTCCAATGACAATGTTTCTGCTTAGTCCACCACTAAGAGATACTATATATTTGTATAGTTACAGATTTTGTCTCTTGGAGCCAAGGCTTAATTCTGCCAAGACTAAAAACTTCTCCAGAGCCGGGATCATACCACAGACGTCTGGTGCACTCTCAAGAGTTCCCACCGCGGTACCGCCAATGCTTGCTGAATTTAAAAAGAGAATGTTATGTTACTTGAAAAACAAAAGTAGTACAGAGGAGATTAAGCCAGCCTTCAGAATAAAGCCCAAACCTACACTTTTGGTATTCCTACTCCCAAACTTCTTGTCACAAACACAGATCAAATCGTGGAGGAAGGAAGGGAGTGGGTGGCAAACACACCAAGACACAGTGAAACACAGTTTACGCCAACGAGGCAGCCTCAGTTCTTGGCCTTTCTGCCTCCAAACTCCCACAGTACTTCATCCATCCTCTCACATGGCAGTTATTAATTTCCACCTTGTTTTCAGCCTTCAAAGACTTCATACCTTCTCTTCGGAGGAATAAGCTCCATTTCTCACAAGTTCGAATGCCCCATAGCTCCCAATACAGTGCCTTACTAAGTAGAGATCCAATGTTTAAAGCATCAGTGGAGAATCTAAATTTCACAAGGCTTGATTTTTGGTTTTTAGTGTTTTTTTTTTTTTTTTTTTTGCAGGGGGAGGGGAGGGTTGAGACAGGGTCTCGCTCTGTCACCTGGGCTAGAGTGCAGTGGTGTCTTTATAGCTCACTATAACCTCAAACTCCTGGGCTCAAGCGATCCTCCTGCCTCAGCCCCCTGAGTAGCTGGGACTACACGGCTGCACCACCACACCTGACTAATTTTTATATTTTTTGTAGAGGTGGGGTCTCACTACAGTGCTCAGGCTGGTCTCAAACTCCTGGGTTCAAGCAATCCTCTTCCCTTGGCCTCCCAAAGCACTAGGATTACAAGCCACTGCACCTGGCCTGAATTTCACAAGTTTTTTTGTTTTATTTTTTTTTTTCTTGAGACAGAGTCTCACTCTGTTGCCTGGGCTAGAGTGCCGTGGCATCAGCCTAGCTCACAGCAACCTCAAACTCCTGGCTCAAGCGATCCTCCTGCCTCAGCCTCCCGAATAGCTGGGACTACAGGCATGCACCACCATGCCCGGCTAATTTTTTCTATATATTTTTAGTTGTCCAATTAATTTCTTTCTAATTTTAGTAGAGACGGGGTCTCGCTCTTGCTCAGGCTGGTTTCAAACTCCTGAGCTCAAACAATCCACCCGCCTCGGCCTCCCAGAGAGCTAGGATTACAGGCGTGAGCCACCGTGCCCGGCCGAATTTCGCAAGTTTTAAGAGCAGTTTCCACTATATCTAAAACCATACAATCGTGATTATAAAAGCGTTGCCCAACAGAAAGCTTCAAAGGGCCTGCTTTACTAATGAATAAGAATATACAAAGTGCTTTTAAGAAAATGGTTGTTTTGAAGCAGTGGAGTGTATTGAAAATAGTCTTAGTTTCAGCCTAGGTTGGGGAGAACACTTCCTGAAGAGCTGCTCTGGGTAATGTCATCTCCTTGGCGGAGGGGACTCCATTAGAGCCTGCTCCTGGCTTCCCTCCACCTCACTTGTTTGGCCAGGAAGATACAGGGCTGAGTGGTAAGTTTGTAAGGGAAATGTGGACAGCTAGCCCTTCCTCTCCCTCCTTCCCTAGGATGACAGCACCTGCTGCTCTCTTCCCTGCAAACTGTGCCCGTGAAAAGGAAGTCTGCCCTGCCCCAGTGCTGACGGTGCTCTGCTGCGCAAGTCTGACTCATTTGGGGGTTCAGTAGAAGGAGGCCCATCCACCTGCAGATAAGAGCCACATAGTCGCACGCTGGCTTTACGAGGAATAAAGGTGATGTGTGACAACTACGTGCTGACATTTTAATCTTTTTTGTCAATTAGTTCAGAACCTGGGAGGGGAAGAATGGTGTTATTTTATTGGGTTCCCTCAAAAACCCCACCACATCCCCCTGTAATCTGGCTGATTAAGAGGCCTGCTATGTGGGGAAAAGGGAAATTCCAGAAAAGGTCCCAGATGTGTCTCCATCAACATCATATGCCAGGCCCACTTCTGCATACACCGCCTAAGACATAGCTGGAAATCCATCCCTCATCCCTGGAGACACCACCCACCCTGCAAGTAATCTGTCCAGTAAGGTAAAAATGCCCCAGAGCCCACTCCCCATCATCTGTGGGAATATCCAGGCTTTATCCTACTTCCCATATACACCAAATTAAGTGTTTATAACAGCTGCTACTTGAAATACTAGCAACCATCCTTATGACAAGGGAAAAGGACAGATGTCTACAAGAAAAGATTACATTTCATCAGGAACAGCTATAAACAAGGCTAAGACAATACAAACATCCTCCACCAACAGTGTCACAGTGCATCTATACTCCTACTCAAGATCAACCATGAAATGGTTTGCCTGCTTGGCCAGAAAGCACGGAACAGGCTTTGGGAAGGTTCCTAGAGAACAAGCATGCCCCAAACCACACTGGGATGGGTGGGTCTGTCCTCGAAATCCCGTGTTTCCCACCTGCCCTCGTCAAACATCAGAAAAAGGAAGAGTTGGAAAGAGAGAAACTTACATGCTCTTTCATCTCGTTGGCCACAGTTTTTGACATCATGATGCAGCAGAGGATGACAACCAGGATGAAGTAGAGGGCGTACATGCAGCGGGTGCTCCGGGACTGTCGGATCCTGGGGCAGCAGTCGCAGCAGAGGGAGCAGCCTGCGGACCCACAGCAGCAGGCCAACTGTTAACAGGAAAGGAACACAGAGCCTCCTCTCAGAGCGTGGCATTGTGATACAGTAAGAAAGACATGTTTGGTCCGGTACAAGAGCTTCCACAAATCTCTGGAATTTCCTGAGTGATGGGGGTGAGAGGAGCGTATTTTGTTATTAATGATGAGTCCCTTTCAACCATACCAAATTTATGGTAATTGGGCAACTCTTTCTGAGCCCCTAGACAGCTTCAGGATGGGAGCTGGTTGGCAGAGGTTTGGAGGGGTGGAAGATTCAGAGCAAACCTCCCACCCCTAGATCTGGGGGCCAAGGGGGACAGGACTAGAGATTGAGTTAATCACCGATAGCCAATGATTTGACTGATCATGCCCACACAGTGGCATCTCTATAAAAGCCCTAATCAACGGGATTCGGAGCTTTCATGTTGGTGAGTGCACCCACGCGCCAGGAGGGGGGTGCACCCAACTCCACAGGAACAGATGCTCCCGTGCCTGGGCCTCTGCTGGGCCTTGCCCTGGGTACCTCTTCATCTTGCTGATCATTTGTATCCTTTGTAATAAACTGGTAAGAGAAGTAAAGAGCTTTCCTGAGTCCTGCGAGCCATTCCAGCGAATTATCAAGCACACGGGGAGGGTAGTGGAAACCCGATTTATACTTGGTCACACAGAAGTATGGGAGGCCTGGACTTGCGATCGGCATCCAAAGTGGAGGCAATCTTGTGGAACTGTGCCCTCAACCCATGGGGCCTGCACTGACCCTAGGTAGTTACTGTCAGAATTGAATGAAATTGTAGGACACCCAGTTGGTGTCATTCACCACAGCCTCCCAAGCTACAGGATGGCCATTCTTCGGAGGCACCCTGACCATGGGGCACGCAGGAAAGAGAAGCCAAGAACTAGAAAAAGAACAAAGTGAGGTGGGAAGAACATGAGAAACAAGAAGCTGGGCTCAAGAAAGGGACTTAAAATCCACGAGCCCAAGAATGAACTGTACGAGCACCTTCGCGGGAAATGATGGGCATGTGCCCCTTGCACCGCACTGTTTCCCAGAACTTTGTAACCCAAATGGCAAACTTTTTAGGCTGAGTGGGGCACGGGCCCAGAGGAGCACAGAGCTCCTGCTGGTAACAGCATACACACCTTTTATTTGGGGAAACTAGATCTTTAATAAAGCATACGGCAACAGAGCACAGTGGTTCAAAGCTCAGGCTCAAAGTCGGCCTATCCCGGTTTGAGGCCTGGCTTTGCCACCTACTAGCTCTGGACTATGAGCAAGTTATTTACCCTTTTAAGACTCAGTCTTCTCATTTATAAAGTAGGGGTGGTAACAGCACTTTATGCTATGGTCGGTTGGATGACCTCATCAGACATACCTGGTGTTAGGGAGGGATCTCTGTTAAGCAAACAGGGACTTCTACAAAAGAGATGACCACAAACTGCAAATTACAATCCAATCTGTTATGTATTAACACTAACAAGCAAACAGGGACTTCTACAAAAGAGATTACCATAACTGCAAATTACAATCTAATCTGTTATGTATTAATGCTAAATACCTAACACTGTTACGTATTTACACTCTACGTAAAACCTAAAATCCGATAATGATTTGGAAAGAAGTTTTAGACTTTGCAAGGCTTCCAAACAAGCATCAGTTAGAATACCACACTATAAACATCACTTACAATGAGATGAGATCATAGGCATATAGTTAAGATAAATCACAATGATGTCATGACAGATCTTGGAATCATATTCATTTCCCAAGTTATCTCATCTACTTCATGAAACTGCCATTGTGTGAGCCCTCTGTCATTCCGTACTATTTCATCACCTCAAATTTTTCCTAGTGTACTCTGTCCATCCTACAAATGATTTGACAAATCAATTCAATTTTCCAAGTCTGCTTCCTCAAAAGACTCTTCTGCCTCCTAAATCCAGGGCACTGCTTTGTAAAAGAAGTTATTCTACTCGGCTTGGCTGAGCTGACAGGTCACACAGTGGTATCCTAACACTATTGCGCTGTGTTTTCATGGGCCACCTTTCTTTACAGTTCATTCATTCACACTCTCAATCTCCTATTTTATTGACCTCTTCCCACTCAAACGCCCAAATTTTACACACATACACACACAGCTGGCTTTTCTCTGAGCCCTGCCTCCCAAATCCTTTCCCAACTGCCTCCTTCATTGGTTGCTAACTGTTTAAGCCATGTGGTCTTAGATAACCAGTCTTACTGTATTTCAAATCCAAATGCAATAAACAAAATACTTATCCTGTTTGGGAAAAGAAATCTTTTAGAAGCAGTTAATGCCTCTCATAATAGAACTTTCCCACCGCAGAATCAACATCTAAACTCTCTCTCCACAGAGGGCAAAATGAACAGATACATACACAACACGAGCCTAACTGGAACTAAGCATTTAAAGGCTCGTTTAGGATCATTAGGATCATTTAGTGACAGAAGAGATGTGATTGTGAAAAATATGAAAAGAAAGGAATATTGGTTTAATCCTATTCCATCATTAAAGTCATATATCATTGTATGGATCTAATTTTTCAAACTTTCCTTATTTTCGCTTACTCTATATAGTGCTACAGTATTAAGAAATATATGCGCACAAAACAAAATCAAACATTATGTATATGTATATAGGTTTATATGTGTCTATATAGGTGTCTGTACATGTATACACACATTCCAAATATTGGAATTCAATAGCCTTTCTCTACTAGCCTAAATGCTATTTTCAAAGCAAACTACGCACATTAGTACAAGCACCTTATCTTAAGCTAAACAATGATATATACACCAGGTGGAAATTCAAAACAGCATCCATAAAAGAAATGTTCATGGGAGCATCTAGGAAAATCTCACAGCCCTGCTGACTGACCACTTTTTTCTGGAAGAGCATAACTGAAAATGGGTTCACGTCCACCCCCTGCCACCTACAGCTTTATTACCTCAAATATAATCCTCGCCTTCAAAACTGGAAAAATCAATTCCTGGCCGGCCTAACTCTCAGGGCATGGAGAAAAGTACCGTGGTCTCGTTACCCCTGGCTCCAGAGGGCATAAACCTTTTACTGAACAAGTCAAGGGCTAAACTCCAAATAAATGTAGAATTTACAACACCAAGAGTGAACCTAATGTAAACTATGGATTTCGGGTGATTATGATGTGTCAGTGTAGACTCATCGATTGTAACAAATGTACCACTCTGGTGGGAGATGTTGCTAACGGTGGGGGTGATACATGATGGGGGGGCGGTATATGTCATCTTAATTTTACCGTGAACCTAAAACTGCTCTAAAAATTAAAATGTACTTTAAAAAAAAACCAGTGCCTGCCCATCTATGGCTCAGTAAATGGATGCTGAACGAATAATGCACAGTAAAGTCACAATGGCACCACTCCTCAAAGCAAGCAGCTGGCAACCCCACTCCATGAGACCAAGTTCACAAGTTTCCTGCTACACTCTGGGCTTCTCACACCGGCATCATATCACAAAGAGTATTAAGGGCTTTAATTTGTAGATACTGCACATTCTCGTTTTCCACAGGAAATGGTTGGTTATACACTCAAAACAAATCAGACAATCTCTTTGGAAGGGCAATGCTTGCAATCCTTCCAGAAGTTCCTCTTGCAGACACACTTCCACAAGGACACAGAGATTTAGGGTCCAAGTCACTCATTACAAACACTGGGAACAGCCTACTCCCCAGCTACATGGGGACAGGCTAAATAAATTATAAACTATCTACACAAAGGAATATTTTTAAAAAGAATAAGTCAGTGTCAAAGACTGAATTTTGTCCCCCAAAATTCATATGTTGAAGTACTAACCCCCAGCACCTCAGAAAGTGACTATATCTGGAGACAGAGTCTTTAAAAAGGTAAATACGGGCCAGGCATGGTGGCTAAAGCCTGTAATTCTAGCACTCTGGGAGGCCAAGGTGGGAGAAATCCTTTGAGCTTAGGAGTTCGAGACCAGCCTGAGCAAGAGTGAGACTCCATCTCTACTAAAAATAGAAAAAATTAGCCGGGTGGTGGGCACCTGTAGTCCCAGCTACTGGGGAGGCTGAGGCAGGAGGATCGCTTGAGCCCAGGAGTTTGAGGCTGCAGCGAGCTATGATGATGCCACCGTACTGTACCCACGGTAACAAAGTGAGACTCTGTCTCCAAAAACAAACAAACAAAAAATGGTAATTACGGGTAAGTAAGGTCAGTGAGGTGGTCCCTAATCCAATATGTCTGCTGTCCTTACAAAAAGAGAAAACGAGGACACAGATACACACAGAGGGACAACACAGGAAGAAGGCAGCCGTCCACAAGCCAAGGAAAGAGGCCTCAGAAGAAAGCCACCCTGTTGACTAGGACTCCTAGCTCCAGAATTGAGAAATGAAATTTCTGATGTTAGGCCACCTGGTCAGTGGTACTTTGTGATGATGGCCCAAGCCAACTAATACAGTCAGTATCCCCTGACATTTTATATACAAGCACATACGAATGTGAGTACAAGTGTGCAGATACAAGACCACTAACACTGACTACCTGTGGGACAGCTGTGGGGAGGAAAAAAGGAGACCTCTGTCTACTTCTAACTGTTCTGCTCTCCTGTTGGGTTTTTACCATGTGCATGTATTACTCTTATAATTTAAAAAAAGAAGAAAACTGACTACTTGAGAAAAACAAGTTTAAAGATATTGATATAAAAGCATTTGCAAAGGTAATATTGACTTACATTGATTTTTCTTTCTTTCTGAAGGACCCTTCCCTCCCCCAAACATACTACAAAGAAAAATCTTTCACTCAAAGAGCCCTTATCTAACTTCTGCTCTTCATCTCAAGCAACAGCACAAATAGCAAAGGCTGTTCTAAACAGAAGGTGCTTTGTCCTTGCTAAGGCAAAGGATCAGAATGAAAGGATAAGCCAGCTGCTTGCTACTACCTGAAGCTGGGCCTCCTCTCTTGGTGTTATTTTTCTTCTCCAATCTCAAGGACTAGTTCCC